GGAAGATAGTTTAAAGGGATGAGGAACACATGTTGCATGCATAACATCCCACGCTCAATATCCAGCACCACATGGTACTTCCGGAGCATGCCAGCCACACAAACCTGAAATAGAACACAGTTAAACATGCTTTTATAGTGGCCACATCTGGCAGTTTGGGATGACTGACTGGACGGGGGAAGGGGTTGATTTTGATGTCAGAGATTAAATTCAGGGCACTTTAATGTTCAACTTGTCCCAAGTCACAGAATTCAAATAGATCTCTTCATAATTGTAGTCGACCAAAAGGAAGTGACCTAAGATTTATAAATGATCTTCAGCAAAAAGAAGATATTTATTAACCTCTTGTTATTATTTTTCATGGACTGGAAAATGATAAATATTAAAGTTACAGATGGTTTATTTAAACTTTTTTATTACATGAATATAAAAGAAATATTTTCTGCTGACTTTACTTTAAGGACGGACATAATCTAAAATCAATGACAGCAACCTAACTAAAGCAAGGAGTTAACTTTTTTTTCAATGTCCTAGTTATAGACTTGCAGCATGTTTCTCAAAATGAGACTTCAGAGATATTTATGTTTTGTTTATGACAATTCATATCTATGAATACTGTCCACTTCATGAAATATTTTGAGAAGTAGACATGTTCTGATGTTTCAGACAATTCTGGCTCTTTTCCAAACTCTCTGCAATTGTATAATGCCATTGTTCTTCTTTTAAGAATATTTATGTCGGGGCTGGAGCAATAGCACAGCGGGAAGGGTGCAGCCGACCTAGGTTCGATTCCCAGCATGCCATATGGTCCCCCGAGCACCGCCAGGAGTAATTTCTGAGTGCATGAACCAGGAGTAACTCCTGTGCATCACCGGGTGTAACCCAAAAAGAAAAAAAAGAATATTTATGTCTATGCTTTTGGTGTTAACTCTGTCCTCCACTATCACCAAAATGTGTAGGAGCTTTCCCCACTGTGCCAGTATCACTTCTAGTTCATCTCTTCCTTTCCCCTCCACTTGGAAACCACAGTTTATACTCAAAGTCCAAGGTCTTATGATTAGATACAGCCTGTTCCTTTGCCTTATTTCATTATATACACAAACAGTTGAGATCATCAGTATATGTCATCTTTTCTGACTTATTTCTAGACTTGTCAAGTTGTAGCACAAAGCAAGCCACCATCTTTTCATAGCTGAGTAGTACTCCATTGCATATATTTCTATGTCACAGCTTCTGTATTCACAAATCTGTCATTAGAAATTGCTTCTTTGCATATCTTGGCTATTGTAAAAAGCTCTGTAATAAATACAGTATGTTTTTATCTTTCCATCTTAATGTTTTTATATTCTTGGAATCGATGCCAAGGAACAGAATCACTGAATCATGTGTGAGGTCTGCTTTTAATTTTTTGGGAAGTTCCATATCATTTTCCATAGAAGCTGAATCAGACAACATTCCCACTAATAGTAAATGTAGATTTCTTTGTAACCACATCCCCGCCAACACTGATTGTTTCAGGTTTTTGATAAAGGCTGTTCTCAGTGGTGTTAAGATGAACTTCATTGACATATTTTATTTGCATTTCCCTAATAAATGTGTATGCATTCTGTATGCTTATTGTTCATCCATTTAGGAAGGGTCTGTTCATCTACTTTCCCCATTTTTTTTTGTTTTTGCTTTTTTTGGGGGGGTGGGGGCGGTCACACACAATGGCATTCAGGCCTTACTCCTAACTCTGCACTCAGGAATTACTCCTGGCAGTGCTTGGGAAACCGTATGATATGGTGGGGATCAAATCCTGGTCAGCCTTATAGGCAAGTAAACAGCCTGTCTGTGCTTCTCTCCAGCCTCACCTCTGCTCATTATTTGATGACAATGATTTTTGTTGGTGAGTCTTGTGAGAACTTTATAGATCTTGAATAAGGTAAAAGGTAAAGGCCCTCTCGTTATTCATCGATTTGCTCTAGCGGGCCCAGTAACGTCTCCATTGGAGATTTTGTTGTTACTGTGTTTGGCATATCAAATACATCAGGGGTGGCTTGCCAGGCTCTACCGTGTGGGCGAGATACTCTCGGTAGCTTGCCGGGCTTTCCGAGAGGGGCGGAGGAATCGAACTCGGGTCAGCCATGTTGGCTGCGTGCAAGGCAAAGGTCCTACCGCTGTGCTATCGATCTTGAATAGTAGCTCATTTTACTATACATGCTGTGCAAGTACCGTTTTTAGAGTGTTGTCTTAGTTTAAGCTTAGTTTCTTTCTCTGTACACAAAAAAGTTAGATATAGTTTCACTTGTTTATTTTTGCCTTTGCTAGTGGAGGTGAATCACTGAAGTAACTTTTGAGCTCGCTATCACGTGGAAAGTTCCACCTATGTCCCTGTTTCTCCCTGTGTCTATGTTAAGTTTGAGAAGGTCAGTGGGCTGCCTCTCTTATGCTAGTTTTCTGGCAGTCATGTCCAAGGACCTGAGCGGCAATAACCAGAGTTTGGGCTTGTGTGTGGCCAAAATTAGAGCTGTGAGAAAAAAAATCCCTTTAACTCTGGGCAAATGGGTTTTAGATGAAAATATCACAGGTGACAGAGCCCGAATATTGGAGAGATCCAAATGGCAGGTGGGGCTGATGTCTGCCATTTCCTGGTTCCTTGGATCTGCATGCTGGTTGTATTTTTATTCACTTATTTCTGGATGCTGGTTTCAGTGCTGGGGAAGCACCTGGTGATAGACTGGTCAGTGATCAAGTCAGCGGGTCTGGCTCTACTTACACCAACCTGGACTGATGATGCTCAGATTTGGCTCACGGGGATGCTGGTGCACAGAAGCATGTGAAGCCAGCCAACTGGGCTGCGTTTTCTCACAGACACAGTGAACTCAGTCCGGCTGGATGGTGCTGAATTGCCTCTTTCGACGGTGTGCCTTCAATCTGGTGAGTGTCTGTCTAAAGAGCATTGTACAGGACTCCCCCAGACACCAGAAGTGGGCAATGGGGGAGAAAAATTTGGACTGAGCACGCACAACAGAATTGCAGGATCAGTCCGCTTGGCTGCTAATCCGATGGAACGTGTTCACCTCCAGAGTTGCAGCAGTGAGAGTGCTGATGGCCAGGCTCCTAAGCAATGTGGCCAGAGACAGCACAGGATGCTGGGATTCTCCGCTGTGCAAGATGCGCCCTCACTTCTTGGCACACTTGCCGACCCTCGCCACCCCGCTTACTCCATCTCTTTTTTAAAAATTTATTTATTTATTTATTTATTTATTGCTTTCGGGATCACACCCGGCAATACTCAGGGGTTACTCCTGGCTCTGCATACAGGAATCACTCCTGGAGGTGCTCAGAGGACCATATGGGATGCTGGAGATCGAACCCAGGTTGGTAGCGTGCAAGGCAACAGCCCTACCCACTGGACTGTCGCTCCAGCCCCCTGAGTGTCTTCTGGTCCCTCCATCTCTCTGTGTTCCGTTACCACCTGCTGTCTGCAGTCGCTGGGATTCCCTGCTTTGTCGCTCCACAATCTGCTGTCTTCTTCCAGCAAGTCTCTTTAGGATGAGTGAGGAGGTCCAGTGAAGTTCCAGCACAGCGGTAGGGCATTTGCCTTGAATGCAGCCAACATGGCCGACCCGGGTTCGATTCCTCTGCCCCTCTCGGAGAGCCCGGCAAGCTACCGAGAGTATCTTGCCCGCATGGCAGAGCCTGGCAAGCTCCCTGTGATGTGTTCGATATGCCAGACACAGTAACAACAAAGTCTCCAATGGAGACGTTACTGGGCCCGCTAGAGCAAATCGATGATCAACGCGAGGGCCTTCACTTTACTTACTTACTTACTTACTTACTTAAAATTCAACATGTCACTTACAACTTCAAAATCCTTGATCACCTTGTGGCATTTCAACAGTTTCAGACTGACCATCAAAGTCCTCTGGGTGGTTGTCCTTCCCTTCCAAAGGTAGAAAGGAAAAATAAAACACCTCGTATTTTTGCTAAACTTTGCTTTAACAATTAGCCTGTTCTCTCCCTCTACAAATTTATTGTAATTCTTCTGTAACTTTCCCCATATACTTGTTTCACAAAGAACTTCCTGCTCCATACTTGTCATTATTCATTCTATTTCTCAATATTCCTTTGGTGGTGGGGGTGGGGGATTCTCTTAAGAAGTACACAGAGGAGTCCCCCCACCCATTCTTGCTTTTTGGGACCCTGATTATTCATACCCAGCAGTGAGGCAGCTGATCCGGTGGAGCTGGGGGATAATTCACTTTCCAGAGCAACCTTCTCCATGAAGATAAGCACAGTTATCTTTTAAGCACACTCTCTTTTTTTCCCCTGCAACATAATTGCACCCCGGCCCCTCTCCTATTTATTTATTTGAGCATAAAATTTATACGGTAAAGGGATTCAAGTAATCTTTAAGCTGCTGGACAATAGGAAGCATGGTTTATATTTTCTGGGTCTTTTTTCTGACACAATTAACAGAGCACATTTGGCTAATATTTGTTTATTACTTGATCACTATTTAAAAATTACAGATGGCTTCTCCTTAGGAGTGGAAAGTTAGATCATTTTTTTCTGCTGTGTTTATTGTATATTTATTTTTAAAACACACAAAAGAGCAAGGGGAAAAGGAAGTTTATTTATACTTTGCAATGGGTATCTTTCCAATTACCATGTTATTAATATATTTTCATAGCCTTTCATATAATAGCAAAACAATCTTTATTAGATCTCATCCTTGTTAACTTGTAAGTATTATAAACAGTATCCTGACACTCTTGTCTTCTATGTGTTGAATTTGGCTCTTTTTTGAAGTATATTTTATATCTTTTTTTCTCTGAGCGAGCAAGTCTATATTTTTTCTACATCTATCATTTACCTATATCTTACATAGATGCTAGATATGTCATATTTAATTTTTTACCCTCCAACATAACCATAAATATTTTAAATATTTTAATTATAATCTCTGATTATATCTGATAAAAATAGAAAAAATTTAAAAATAGACAACTATAATACTTACCTGGAAGGGGAAATATTATGATCACGAAAATGATTTTCCCAGGGTGAGGCTTGTCCATTGCACTCTGGATGTGCCGACCTCTGTGACTTCCCCAAGCATGAGGAACTCAACTCTATAACTTGTGGCAGAGGGGGACTGTGTTCAAGCTTTCTCCTGTAAAAAAAAATAGGCAGATATGAATCATATTTATAAATGCAAAATCTTAACTTCTTTAGACTACATAAATATTTATTTTGTTGGTATCTTTGGTTTTGGGTAGCACCTAATGATATTTAGGATTTGGTTCTGGCTCTGTTTTTTGGAATCACTCCTGGAAGAACTCAAGGGACCATATGCTGTACAGGGACCAGCTGGTTTGGCAACTTACAAGCCAAATGCCTTAACCCTAATACATCTTCTTTAGCCCCGAGATTACAAGTTTTTAAGAGTGAATTTTTTTTTACAGATAATCAAACAGCTTTTCTAGTTAGTGTATTAATGGTGGGCTGGAGTGATAGCACAGCAGGTAGAACGTTTGCCTGGCATGTGGTCGACCCGGGTTCAATTTCTCCATCCCTCTCGAAGAACCCAGCAAGCTACCGAGAGTATCCTGCTCGCACAGCAGAACTTGGCAAGCTCCCCATGGCATATTCGATATGCCAAAAACAGCAACAACAAGTTTCACAGTGGGGATGTTACTGGTGCCCGCTCGAGCAAATCAACGAACAATGGGAGAACAGTGCTACAGTGCTAAATTAATGGCAATCAGAGAAAATATGAACATGACCAAATTTTTTGACCCAGGCTGGAGTGGTAGTATGGTGGGTGGGGAGCCCTGCTAGGAATGATTCTGGAGTACACAGCCAGGAATAATCCCTGAGCACTGCTGGGTGCAGCCCTAAAACCAGAGAAGAAATTTGGATACTTAGATAAGAATAAAACACTGTGGGTTATTTAGGAGCTATTTATTATTTCCATTATTTGAATCAAAGGGCTTGGGGATGATGCAAAGTTCAATTCCTAGCCCCATGTATCACCACCCATCCACATTAGATTACAATCACGTGATTTTAATGATTAAAAGCATCAGCAATTAGACTGACATCAATCTGTTTGAAGTATTAGCCATTTTATTCATAAACATGGCACGCTTACTGAGCATATTAACTCTGTGTTTCACTTCCCCTGGCTTATTTAATCTTCATAAAAGATAAAACTAAAGATTATAGATCCTGAACAGATTTATTATTATGATATATATACATATATATAAAAAACATATAATATATAATAGTAGTCTGCAAATGTTAACCTGAAATAATATAATGGTCAGCTAAGTATAACAATATCCTTTCTTTGGATTTTAAAATCTAGTGCAGTGCTAAATTTTAACAGGAGTTTAACAAATATCATCTTTTATATGGGTGATAATGATAATGAAAAAAACTGAGGCTTAAAGAAAAAAACATAGAATTAAAGATTATTAGAAAAATATTTTCTAAAGGAGAAAGACCAGTTGAGTGAATGAGGGTAAAATTTTGAGGCAGATTCTCTCTTTTCTATGTTTTTTGCTTTTTGTGCTTCTGGAAATACAGAAATATTTTTTCCTGTTAGATTTTTTTTTTTATTCAAAGGCTGCTGGATTTCATCAGTGTACCAGCACTGAATGGTTTGGATCATGCATTAATCTTTTCAAAAAATAAAATTGCATCATGCTGAAAGTCTTAGGTTTAACAAAATCACACAGCTATTATTCTTCTCAACAGAAAAGATGCTCTATTTTTATTTACATTACCCTTCATAATTTTCTCTTCAGTATTTCCACAGTTGCAAAGAACCAGAGGTTATCCACAGAATACAGTGTTGTATAAATGAAACAATATCTTCACTAAAATAAGTCTAAACTGCCTCACTAAAATGATTATTCAATAATATAGTGTTGTAACATGTGGACAAGAAAGGATGTCAGTTTTTTAAGAGTTTGCAGTCACTGCCCATAATTTTGTAATTATAAAGTTTTGGAATCACGCCCAACTTGATTAGGACTTACTCCAGCTTTGCACTCAGGGTTCACACCTGGTGGGGGCTCTTGCACTGAGATAATATTTATATTTATATAATATTATAGGGCTGGAGCGATAGCACAGCAGGTGAGGCATTTGTCTTGCATGCAGCCGACCTGGGTTTGATTCCTCCACACCTCTCGGCAAACTACCACGAGTATCTCACCCGCGCAGCAAAGCCTGGGAAGCTCCCTGTAATGTATTCGGTATGCCAAAAACAGTAACAAAAAGTCTCACAATTTGTTGTGAGACGTTATTGGTGCCTGCTCAAGCAAATCGATGAACAATGGGAAAACCCAATACCAATACCAATAATATATTACTCTTCATGTTAATGTTTTATGTTGTTACCTGTTTTCCTACCCAGCAAGATGCTATACTGTGGTCCCTGCACTTTTTGTGTGACAGAAGCATGGATGTCTGTTTCATTGTTCTTACTGTTCTTGCTGCCCTTCTTTTTGTTTGTTTGCAAGCTATTGGCACAAGCTGAATGTGCCTGTCATTTTTGACACCACAGTACACAGGCAGCATACCTAGCAGTATTAGAATCTTAGGAGGGGAACTCCAGGTTTAGTCTGAGTGTACCATATGTTTCTTGGGATCAAACCTAGGCTCCAGCAAACAAAATATTCACACCAATCCTTTGAAGCGTCTCTCTCATAACATACATTGTATTTTAAAATGCATGCATTTATTTAAATCCCTATTGTACCTTTATGTTTCTGGCCTGTACTTTAAATATTTAGCATAAAATAATATGCTTTGCTTCATATTTTAGTACTAGGTGAAATAATACAAGTCATTTATTTTGGCACCCTCTTTAGAATTTTGTAATTAATAATAAGAATTATCCCATGTGACTCTCCTTCACTGCTGGTGGGAATGCCGACTGATTCAGCCCTTTTGGAAAACAGCATGGACAATTCTCTAAAAATTATAAATTAAGCTCCTATTTGACCCAGCAATACCACTCCTGGGAATATATCCCAGAGAGGCAAAAAAGTATAGTCGAAGTGACATCGGCACTTGTTTGTTCATTGTAGCACTGTTTACAAAATAGCCAGAATCTGGAAATAACCTGAATGCCTGAGAACAGATGACTGGTTAAAGAAACTTTGGTACATCTACACAATGGAGTACTATGTAGCTGTTAGAAAAGATGAAGTCATGAAATTTACATACAAGTGATATTACATGGAAAGTATCATGCAAAGCAAAATGAGTCAGAAAAGAGAGGGATAGACATAGAAAGACTGCATTCATCTGGGGAACATAAAGTAACAAAATCGACACCCAAGAATAGCCAAGATAAGTACCAGGAGGTTTACTCCATGGCTTGGAGGCCAGACACACATGCTAAGGGAAAATGCAGCTCAGATAGAGAAGGGAGCAGCAAATAAAGGGTGTTGGGAGGATCCTCCCAAGATGGGAGAAGCATGCTGAAAGTAGACTATAGACCGAACATAATTGCCATTCAGTGCCTGTTTTGCAGACCACAACACCCAAAAGGAGAGAGAGAACAAAAGGGAATGCCTCGCCACAGAGGCAGGGTGGGATGGGGGGGATGGGTGTGGGAGGGATACTGGGACCCGTGGTGGTGGAAAATGGGCACTGGTGGAGGGATGGGTATTTGATAATTGTATAATTGAAACCCAAGCACAAAAATTTGTAAGTTTATAACTGTACCTCATCGTGTTTCACTAATAAAAATTAAAAATAATTACCCCATGTATCAGAAAAATTCATCTACAAATAGCATAAAAACTAATATACACTCTTTTATTTGGTTAAATCTACTCTTCTTATGCTATATCTAGAGGATTTTTCCAACTGGGTCTTTTCTTGTTTGGCTTTATCAGGAGAAAAGGTGCTTGCTACCCACAATTGACCACAACACATATCCAAAGAAAAGAGGAACCTACTTTCTCTCAATTTAAGTCCAAGAAAATAGATCATTGCCATTTTTTGGTCTAAGCTGAGTACAGTGTTCATATGTGAACCATTTCTGATAGCAGGAGAAATTTAATGAACTGATTTACTTAGACCGAGAATCTTATGTTTATCAATGTAGAACAAGTTATAGGAGTTACTCTAGCCAGTAGGTCAGAGAATGTAAGTCTGAAATTGGAATTAGGACACTGTTAATGGAGAGGCTAAGTCAGGAAGAGATTCAGAGAAGATAGCAAATGTGTTATTGACTCTGTTTTCCCAGTGAATGGCATGGAGGGTGTTTTCTTCTAATTAATGATATTTTTTAATATTTTCAAATGAATGCTGCAATTGTACATCCAAAATTGTGTGTAAAAGTTATTTCTCAGTCTATTGAAAGATAACATGGCAACAAAGGCTGTATGTTTCAGAATCATTAACATTCAGGCAAAGTTGTTTGCATATATGTCTCTTCCAAAATACAGTAATGGAAAGACACAGGGCTTCTTTTTACACAGGTCACAAAATGACACATAGATTTATACATGAAAGAAAAACAGTGGTATCTAAAAATTCTATAAAGTATGCATTTATTGATGGTTTCTGAAACATTATGTAAGAATTAATAGCACACAACAAGAAAATTACCCATTATATATAATTATGTAGAAAGTAGCACTGTAGCACTGTCCTCTCATTGTTCATCGATTTGCTCAAGTGGGCCCGGTAATGTCTCCATTGTGAAACTTGTTGCTACTGTGTTTGGCATATCAAATACATCACAGGTAGCTTGCCAGGCTTTGCCATGTGGGTGAGATACTCTCGGTAGCTTGCTGGGATCTCCGAGAGGGGTGGAGGAATCGAACCGTTTTCGGCCTGGTTAGCTGCATGCAAGGCAAATGCCCTACCTGCATCCAACATTATACTACATTATTTCTTAGAGTTCTTTGGATAGTTTTTTTTTATTGCTAAATAGGAATATTAATATGTTGGTTATTATTAAGTGTAATTGCTATTTAAAAAATTCTAATGATAAATTCTTGGGTATTTACATTTTGGTTCTGGGGTTTTGGTTAGTAATTTTGGGGGGCCCACACCCAACCATATTAAATGGATACTCTCAGCTCTGTGCTCATGAATCATCCCACTGTTACACTGGGGAACATGTGACCCCATACAAGCTTT